ATATGAAGGTATTTGGTAGGTTGTTCTCCCTTACTTGGATCAACGTCTGTAAACATTTATAACAAAATTATTAAGTTAGTGAGGATATGAAGGTATTTGGTAGGTTGTTCTCCCTTACTTGGATCAACGTCTGTAAACATTTATAACAGAATTATTAAGTTAGTGATCTACAAATATAAAAAGAAGAAACACCACAAAGTTATGTGTAACATGACCAGTATGTCTGGACTATTAACTCAAACTTGTGATGTCTGTTTCTATTACGTTATTTATATTTGGAACATGACCAGTATGTGTAAACCATTAACTCAACTTGTAATGTCTGTTTCAATTACGTTATTGATATTTGAACATGACCAGCATGTCTGGACTATTAACTCAAACTTGTGATGTCTTTTTCAATTACGTTATATAAATAATTAGGAAAAAGAGGTTGAAGAGAATAAAATGGACGTAGTTGTGATAAAATTATGGCCACTCGCTGTTTAATGTTTTAATTTAAATGTTTTTTTAATGCATCAGAATGTAAATATATAATATTCAGGAAATCACAATCATAGGGTTAATTAAATATATATTTTTTAATTACTTCTTTCATCTGAAACATCAGCATGGAATTATTAAGTCTGATATTAAAATTCTGAAATCGAGCGACAAAACAGAGCCTCCAATTCAAACGTGTAAAATTGAAATTACTTCTAAGTTGAAAACTTATAAAAAGTAAAATGAGATCGAAAAATACAAAACAGTAAAACAATGTTACCGTTCGATGTGTTCGAGTGTTGTGTTTTTCTATGCGAGTTGTCTGATGTTTTGTTTTTAATTATGCACAAAGCTACACAAGGGCTATCTGTGCTCTGCTCACCACGGGTATCGAAACCCGGATTCTAGCGTTGTAAGTCCGCAGACATACCGCTGTGCCACTGGGGGGCTAGAGTTGTCTGATGTTTTGTTTTTTGTTTTGTTTTTAATTATGCACAAAGCTACACAAGGGCTATCTGTGCTCTGCCCACCACGGGTATCGAAACCCGGATTCTAGCGTTGTAAGTCCGCAGACATACCGCTGTGCCACTGGGGGGCTAGAGTTGTCTGATGATGCCGCGTTAATGTTGGCGAAACGTAGCTTTATTTCATTTTGTTTTAGTTTCTAATATTTGAAGTATATTTAGTGCCTCCAGTAATTAAGAATTACTTAAATTAAAAAACACACACGAAATACTGAAAATCATTTTCATTTACCAACTAACAACAAGGCTGCTTCATCACAGTGGGTAAAGTAGATAGGATTGATATGTAGAAACTAGAAAACTTATCTTTATTTGTGAAGGAATATAGTTAAACTATGTTCGGTTTCTTTCTTTGTATCATGCGATCCATTTCAAGTATGTATGAAAAATATGAATTATAAAGACCATTTGAACGTATTTACTCAAAGAAAACAAAAATAGTGCTATACAATGTTACTGCATACTACAAAAGTTGAATATCTTTGTAGCATTACCTCCGAGTCACTAGGGGGCATTATTCGGTTATAAAAGAGTAACGCTTGGTTACTGTTTCGAGAATGGAAACACCATCCAAATTCGAACTTTGTGATAAATACACTTGGAGAACAATGCCGTTGTGGTGGCCCATTGCGTAGCTTTGTGCTTACCAACAAACAAACTAACTAACCGAAAACTAAAATTATTGCTGTTCTTGTTTGTTTGTAGTTAAGCACAAAGCTACACAAAGGGCTATCTGTGCTCTGCCCACCACGGGTATCGAAACCCGGTTTATAGCGTTGTAAGTCCGCAGACATACCGCTGTGCCACTGGGGGGCAATATTGCTATTCTTATTGCAAATTAATAGGTTCGGCATGGCCAGGTGGTTAGGGCGCTCAACTCGCAATCTGAGGGTCGCCCTTTCAGCCGTGGGGGCGTTATAATGTGACGGTCAATCCCACTATTCGTTGGTAAAAGAGTAGCCCAAGAGTTGGCGGTGGGTGGTGGTGACTAGTTGCCTTCCTTCTAGTCTTACACTGCTAAATTAGGGACGGCTAGCGCAGATAGCCCTCGTGTGGCTTTGCGCGAAATTCAAAACAAACCAAACACAAAAGTTAATAGGCTTGAGAAATTAATAGGCTTACTTTAAAAGTAACAACGATTAGGTTATACCCGTCCTGACATGTTGTATTTTTTTACATTCAACATGGTCATATTCAACATGCTACATTCAGTTGTTTGTATAAGATCCTCCATAGAAAATTAAATATATATTTTTTGGCTATCATACACCAATATTTTATACATTAATGTCTTTATTAAGAATTAACTAAACCTTTTTTTTTATTAATTTAATTGGTAAACGTGGGAAAATGGAGGAGCTTTCTAGGAAATAATTATTTGAATATCATTTTTTTTTCCTTGGAGCAGTTTTTCCGACGAGATAACCAGTAAGCTTTTCCTGGTAAAATCTAACTAAGCGTGAAAAACGTAGCGTGAACGTGCTCTAAAAATTCAAAGAAACATTATGAAAAAGTAATTTCCAATAAGAATGGTTTTAACACTCATAGTTTAATTAGGGATTACATTAATGACACGTGGTACAATACAAGAAATGTGATGATGGATGATTTCAGTCGAAGTTTGTCCTTCACTCTATATCAATTGTTAAACTCTGAAATATTCAATACATATACTAAAGTCATTCTTTTTTATTTTAGTTCAAAATAGCAAAAAAATTGTCTTATACAAGATTTTGTTAGCCGTGTATGATTCCTAGACGTTAAAATATCCTATGTTCAATGACAGAGTTCGTGCCCCTAAAACATGATAAACGTAGAAATATAACAATGATTTTTTCTATTATTATTAAGCACCAAGTTACGTCATGGGCTTACCTGTGCTGTGCCCAAGACGGGTATCGAAACCCGGTTTTTAACACTATAAGCCTTCAGACTTATCACTGAGCCACTGGATAGCATTTTATCAGGACTTGAAAAATCAGATAAATGTGTTATAAAACAGTTTGTTTTTGTCTGTCTGTAGATACATGTGTTATAAAACAGCTTGTGTTTGTCTGGCTGTAGATACATCTTATAAAATGGCTTGTGTTTGTCTGTCTGTAGATACACGTTATAAAACGGCTTGTGTTTGTCTGACTATAGATACATGTGTTGTAAAACTGCTTGTGTTTGTCTGGCTATAGATACACGTTATAAAACGGCTTGTGTCTGTCTGTAGATACATGTGTTATAAAACGGCTTGTGTTTGTCTGGCTATAGATACACGCTATAAAACTGCTTGTGTTTGTCTGGCTATAGATACATGTGTTATAAAACGGCTTGTGTTTGTCTGGCTGTAGATACATGCGTTATAAAACGGCTTGTGTTTGTCTGGCTATAGATACACGTTATAAAACGGCTTGTGTTTGTCTGTCTGTAGATACATGTGTTATAAAACGGCTTGTGTTTGTCTGTCTGTAGATACATGTGTTATAAAACGGCTTGTGTTTGTCTGTCTGTAGATACATGTGTTATAAAACGGCTTGTGTTTGTCTGTCTGTAGATACATGTGTTATAAAACGGCTTGTGTTTGTCTGTCTGTAGATACATGTGTTATAAACGGCTTGTGTTTGTCTGTCTGTAACGACAACTTATCTACCTCTCTCTCTCTTATCACCATCTATTTTTTTTAGTGGTTCCTGGAATTCATAGCTCCGTTGATCACTTTCTCCTTGTTACGACTTTTACAATCATTATATTTTCTCCCTACTTCTGGCGAAAGACAACACGTTCGCCGTCTCGCCATCCCCATGGGAACAACGAAGTAAATGCCACGCCTGGCGAGGTGTACCTTTCTTAATTCAACTAGTGTTTCTAGTGTAGTAACGTTAGCGGAGCAAACCGTGCGCTATAATATTAGATTTTTTTTTCCTGTAGTTCTCCCAACTGAAGGTCCAAGGATAACTGGCGGAAGAGCCAAATACAATATTGGAGACACTGTCACGGTAAACTGTACCTCCGCTAAGTCCAAACCCGCTGCAACATTACGCTGGTATATCAACGAGAAAATGGTATATGTGTTTTAGTTACTAATTGTTCTTGTTGTTTCAAACAGTGGGTTCTGCTCACTGTTAGTCATTTGTTTGTTCATGATAAAATCTGCTGTCTATGATCAATGTGAATATTTTATTAGTCTATATAACTGACTTTGTTACACAGAAGACTGGGGTAAGTCAGAACCAAGAAAACTGGTCTGTATAATATGCTCTTGGATATCTTTCCATGTTTACTTTTCTTCTGGAGTTTGATTTCATTACTGGTGAGATAGATAGTAAATTGATTGATAAATTATCGTCAGCGGTATAGATTTCCGTGGTTCTTTTTTTATTATTTGAAAAGAACATTCTCGAGCACAGTATAACGATGTAGAGAGTTATAAGCTATAAGTATGGGAACTGTTTGAGCTAATTAACTTGAATCTAGACGTGTGAGTAAAGAAAATCAATTCAAGAAGAAAACGTTTTACTTTCACGGGAAGTTGCTTTTTTTTACTGAATCGTAAATTTTATTAACACAAAAGTTCTAGTTTTCTTTGAACACATATTTAACACATTTTTAAACACATATTCAACAGATATTTAACACATTTTAAACACAAAATTAATACACTTTTAACACATATTTAACATTTTAAGCACATTTTAACACAAAATCAATACACTTTTAACACATTTTAAACACAAAACGAAACACATATTTAACACATTTTTAAACACATATTTAACAGATATTTAACACATTTTAAACACAAAATGAACACATATTTAACAGATATTTAACACATTTTAAACACAAAATTAATACACTTTTAACACATATTTAACAGATATTCAACATTTTAAGCACATTTTAACACAAAATCAATACACTTTTAACACATTTTAAACACAAAATGAACACATATTTAACACATTTTTAACACGTATTCTGCAGATTTTTTTTTCCGGTAAACAATAATCACAAGTTGAAAAAAGTGAACTCTGCGCGAGTACCAATAATTTTGATCACTTTCAGGCAGAGCACGAAACTGACTATTCAGCGACGCGTCACGAGGACGGGCTGGAAAGTTCTAGCCTCAGTCTAAAGTTTATCGTCACGGAAGATCACTTACGAAACGGGAACATGAAGCTGACGTGTGAATCGAGCATCCTGCGCTCATACGTCATGAGTAATGAGGAGTTAGTGATGGGCGGACATCACCAGGCTTCGGGATTACACATTAGTGAAAACTTGAATCAAGGTACAGTCGGTTGATGCGCGGTATAATCAAAATATATGTCACATTGTAGGTAACGCGAAAGATGCGTGTTTGTTTATTTCTAAATATTTGGATATTTCTTCCTTTCATATCACCTTCTTTTTTTTTTTTTTGGAGATATTCCAAACATTTAAAATTGGATATTTCCTCTATTCCATTTTACCTTTTTTTTCATATTCCAGGCATTTAAAATTGGATATTTCTTCTATTCCATTTTACCTTTTTTTAGATATTCCAAACATTTAAAATTGGATAGTTCTTCTATTCCATTCTACCTTTTTTTAGATATTCCAAACATTTAAAATTGGATATTTCTTCTATTCCATTTTACATTTTTTTTAGATATTTCAGACATTTAAAATTGGATATTTCTTCTATTCCATTTTACATTTTTTTTAGATATTTCAGACATTTAAAATTGGATATTTCTTCTATTCCATTTTACCTTTTTTTTTAGATATTCCAGACATTTAAAATTGGATATTTCTTCTATTCCATTTTACCTTTTTTTAAGATATTCCAAACATTTGTTTTGAAAAGTATTTCTTTCTGCATCAGTTCATTTCATATGAGCAAGAAGCTAAAATGTAATATTCTGAATGATTTTATTGTTTTAAATGAGCAAGTAGTCGCTCCTTATTATAAACACACATGTATATGGATAAGACCAATGTGCTCGTTTTTCTTTCTCCGTTTCGAAAGCAGAAAATGTTTATTGGTTAATTCAAACACTATAACTGCGGTTGAGCATGTTTGAATAAAAGTAAAAACCAGTTTGTTTGTTTTTTTCAGAAGTACCAGATGTAGCTGCGACTGGATCAATCCACGTTTTTCAAGTGGGATTCGTATACCTTCTGGTAGCCATTCAGCGTATTCAGTATTGGATGTCAACGTGAAGAATTGGATCTTCCGTTGTGTGGAACGTTGTGGAGTTTTATAAACGCTGTGATACCAACTGTTTCTACGCGTGCAGAGAGAAAGAGATCGTTGAGAACTTTGTCTATCGAAATATTTGAAGTCTTGTTTATGAGTCACCCAATAACCCAATTTTGAACTGGTTTGAAAAAAAAAAAACAATACTGTAAATAGATTGGTTTGCATTATTTTCGCTGCTAATGAGGTATTTCATGTCTGAATATATGTACGTTGTCTGTGTAGCTACCATTAATAGTGATCTCAACAATGAACGTAATGTTTCTTGTCTAATCGTTGTATCAGAAAGAAAGACATATCAACAATCTGGTAACCCTCTTCCGTCGACGTTTTTTTTATATATATCAGAACTCATCCTCGAAGGTTTTTGACCAGTGAAGATACCTATCATCATACCTCTATAGTTCACTATTATTCTGGGTTTACCTGACAATTACTACATAATCACGAGATACATATTACCGGTATTATAACACTTTTCAAGCATGAGAATAGTTTACACTGGCAGTAAAAAACTGCTGATAGCTTAAAAAGAGTGTTATAAACTATTACAAATTAACTTAACTATTGAGATTTTGGTCGAATGAAAGGTCAGCGGTGTCGTAATTACATGTGTACGGACATACTAAACTATATTACATTATTACTCTAATATTACAGTGACTATCTGGTAAAGTAAAGCTTGATAAAATATTTTAAATATAGACTGAAACATATCTTAGACAATCCTTTTAAGTCTCAGCTCGCTTGGGAATAAACAGTCACTTGAGAATAAAAGCAATTTCCAAAATACTAAACATTTTAATGGGGGGGGGGGGAGGAGAATAATCGTTATAAAAGTTCGAGAATATCCAAAAATTAAGGTTACCGGAACCTTTCTTCTGTAAACACAATAATCACTAGATCTGACGGAAATGGTGGTTTAACAATCCTCGAATCCTGATAATCTGTAACAGATCTTGTTGCTATCTCTGTTGTAAACCCGAACCTTTCTTCTGTAAACACAATAATCACTAGATCTGACGGAAATGGTGGTTTAACAATCCACGAATCCTGATAATC